ATGTATGTGCTGTGGACACAGCCATGTTGTTGTATGAACACAGACATGTGGTTAGTGTGAACACAGACATGTGGTTAGTGTGACTAAAAAATTGAAATTGAAATTTTTAATTAATTTCCATTTAAGCAGCCACATGTAGTTAGTAGCTACCATAGTGGACAGACCAGCTCTGGTTTTTATATGCCCATCAGCTAGTCAGGACTGTTACTGGTAAGTACTGTCAAGTGGTTTCTGACTCATGTCGTTGTTGTTATGTGCCGTGGAGTCGGTTCCGACTCATAGCGACCCTGAACAGGGTTTCTGAGTCTGTAAATCTTTACAGGAGCAGAAAGCCTCATCTTTCTCCCATGGAACAGCTGTTAGTTTCGAACTGCTGACCTTGCGGTTCATAGCTCGATTTGTAACCACTACGCTACCAGAGCTCATAGTGACCCTGTATAGCTAGGATTTCCAAGGAGCGCCTAGTGACTTTGAACCCCCGACCATATGATTCAAATTGGTTTTGCAGTCCAGTGTTCATCCTCCAGTGCCACACCAAGACTCCTTATATTTTATTTGCCCATTGACTAGTCAGGATAGGATAGGGTAGACTGTAGGAACAAATAACCCCAAAATATTAGTGGTTTAAACAAATAAAGCTTTATTTCTTATTCCCACTACATATTCATCATATGTCACCTGGAGATTGTTCTACATTCCCACATCCTGGGATCTGGGTACCATCTTGAATTTTGATGTTAATTGCAACAAAAAGGGAAGAAAGAGTAATACAGAGGGTCTTCTGCTGACAATCAAATGGCTACTTGTCTCAGAGGTAGAAAACATCAATATCATTATCAAATCATTGGTCAGTTAGAGATTTTGTAGCCTAAGGAGCTCTGGTAGCGTAGTGGTTACGAATCAGGCTGCAAACCACAAGGTCAGCAGTTCGAAACTACCAGCTGTTCCACGGGAGAAAGATGAGGCTTTCTGCTCCCGTAAAGATTTACAGCCTTGGAAACCCTGTACAGGGTCGCTATGAGTCGGAACCGACTCCATGGCACATAACAACAACAACAACAACAATTGTGATCAAAAGGGGGGAAATGAGGAACAAAATATCAAAGTCTGGAATCCAGACTTTCTGGAATCATGGAAGCTAGATGAATCCCTGAAGTTATTGCCCTGAGAGAATATTTAACCTGAAACCAAAAATATCCCCTAAAGTCATCTTAAAATAAAACAACAGTTTAGCTAAACTAGTAAAAAATGTCTACCCTGAGCATTGTGGTATTTTAAGATCTACCTAAATGGAATCAAACTGACAGTAGCAACTCAAAGGATTAGATAGAACACTTGGGGAAATAAATTTATGTGACTAGCAGAGGAATAGCTCAGAAAAGGAGGATGAGAATGGTTGTACACCTCAAAGAACACAATCAGTGCTACTGGATTGTATAGTAGAAATTGTAGACTTGGTGTATGTGTTTCTGTCTATATTCTCAACAACAGCAACAATTATATTTTTAAAAGCCTGGCTATGTAGTTCCCAAAACTCGGCCTTTGGAAACTTACGGAGCATAGTTGTACTATTGATACTCATGGGATTCTATGAGCTGAAGTTAACTGAATAGGAACTGGTTTCTTAATAATTTTACCACTTTTTTTTTTTTTAATCCCCAAGTAATACATTGTTTAGTTTTGCATATTTTTTGCTTTATGTAAGTAGAACCATTCTGTATTGTTTTCTCTGGAGAACCTCATTGATCAGAATACATCACAAGGCCCTATCCATTCTGGTGTGGCACTGTGGTATAAGCACTAGATTGCTAATCACAAGGTGGGCAATACAAACCCACCAGCCACTCCTTGGAAACCCTAGAGAGGGTCCTTATGAGTGGAACTGACAACAATATCCACCAATTAACAACAACAACAATATCCACCAATCAGAGAGGCAGGAAGCACACTCGATTATGTAATCTGGGAGACAGAAATATGACTGAGTAGTACTAATGGTTAACTGGAGTCCTGGTATGGCACTGCAGGTTAATGCACTGGATAGCAAAGTCAGTTTGAACCACAAGGTCAGTGGTTCAAGCTCACCAGCCACTCCTCAGAAACCCTATACAGGGTCACTATGGGCTGGAACCAACTCAATGACACATAACAACAACAACATTTAGCTAACTAAGCATCACCAAAATAAGTAATGCATTAAATTGAACTCAAATAATTGCATTTTAAAAAGCCAAGTTTGTGTCTGTATAAAGAAATCAACAACAAACACGTAAGAAGATATGCACAATTCCAGGAAGGCTCCTTTTATAAAATCAAAGAAGGAAAGAAGACTGAAAAGATGTGTTAGTGTCTTATACATAATTTTTATTAAACTGGTGAATAGGCAAATCCATTAAGAGAAAAAGAAGGTAACATTAGCATAATTTACATTCCTTCATCATGTAAAGAGGATAATTTCTCAAATTTTGCTTAAAGTCTTTTTTAAAAAATTAAATGATACAGTGTCTACCTATTCAGATAACAATAAGATCTAAATATAATTTACAAGAAAAATTTGTAAACAAGTCATTCACAAGCCACTATCAGAGAATTTTGGAATTAGATTAAATCTTGGAGGTCAGGTATTCTAGCCTTCAATATGGAAATGCCTCCTATAGCATTCTCCATTTTCTGGGACGGAGAGGAAGTCCACTACTATTGTGGGAATTCATTCCATTAGTGGACAGATGGGACTGTTTGAGAACTCTTCCTGCTGAGCATTCAGTCCATGGGTCCTGTTCTGTATACATGTAGACCAGGACCAAGTCCTTTGCTCTGTGAGAACCCTCAACCATCTGGAGGGAGTTACTCTGTTCTGAGTCTTCTCTTTTTGTAGCTAAACTCTCCATCCTTTTACCTTTCCTTTCTGTGCCTTGATTCCCATGCCTTCTATCCCTCTAGTCTCCTGATCGCTCTCCTGAGAACATGCAGCACAGAGTAGAGAGTTGGGAAGTGGGCCATAGACTTTGGGGCCAGAGAATCTGAACATCAAATCCTATTTGCCATGGAGTCTCCATGCCTTTCCGCTAGTAGGTAAGGGCTTAACCATGTATACCACCCACAAAACCTATCTACTTAAGATTTGATCCTCAGTAAACTTCTCTGTCAATGGAGAAAAGACTGAAGTTGTCAAGAACTTCATTCTTCTTGGATCAACTATCAACACTCCCAGAAGCAGCAGTCAAGAGATCAGATGGCATATTGCATTGGGCAAATCTGCTGCACAGGAACTTCTTAAAGGGTTAAAGAGCAGAGATGTCAGCTTGAGGACTAAGGTGTGCCTAACCCAGGCCATGGTATTTTCAATAAGCTCATATGGATGCGAAAGCTGGACAGTAAATAAGGAAGATTGTAGAAGAATTGACGCATTTGACCTAAGCCATGCCTGACCTAAGCATGTGACTCAGGTCACAGCCCTAGCCTGATGTAGGGGGAGTTTCCCTGGGGCGTGGCCTGCATCACTTTTTATCCTAAAGGAGGTAAAAAGAGAGAAGTGAGTAGAGAGAGGGACCTCAGTATCACCAGGAAAGAACAGTTGGGAGTAGAGTGTGACCATGGCTTAGGTCAGGAGCACCTTAGTCCTCAGGCTGACATTTTTGCTCTTCAACACTTTAAAAAGGTCTTGTACAGCAGATTTGCCTAATGATTACTGGAAAGATCATAGACACTGGTCAATCAGACCTGTATCTGGCTTACTACCACTGAGGAATTACTTGACTTCTCTGAACCTCAATTTCCTCTACTATAAAATGCAAGTATTGAGCTAATAAAATGATAAATAAAAAAAAAATACTTTAGTGATTTGTCTGAATATGCTGTAGATCTCTGACTTTATTTAAGTAATTGATAAAAATATTTGACTGGGATGGAACTCAAGATTGAACCACTATTGATTTTACGCTTGGTTAAATATCCACCTTTCTGTCGGCACATTCATCTCCCCTTCAGCCACGCCACACCATTTCAATACCTGAGCAGGCTTTGCCAATTAGCAGAATCAAGATACTCAATAAAGTAGATTGCTTAGGATTAGCTGCATGAGATTTACTTTCTTGGGTGCATAGTTACTACTTTTTTGTTCTTTCTTAATAAGTTCCTCCTCATTCTTCTAAAAATATATAAGGTTATCTGGTTTCTAGGCTACTACATTACCTGCATATATGATCTTTAGGCAGACAGTAATGCTAGAAGTAATTTGAGTTTCCTTGATTTCTTTAAACTTCTCTTAAGAGTCATTGTAGAAAATGGTACACGTTAACTGAGACAGCTCTCTCATTTTACTTGAGGGTGATGTGCATGTGTGCATATGTGCCTGGTGGTGAAACAGGGTTTGAATTACATCTCTGGAACTCTTTGCTCCTGTTTGTCTACTAGTATCTCCAGCATCAAATCACGGCTTAGAGTCCTCATCACTTTTGTTATCATCACAGACAATTAGGATTCAGTATAAGGAGATAGCTTGAAATTCAATTCTAACCAGCAGCTCAATCCAAACTCCTAAAACCTGGCTGGGGTGGGATGGGGATGTATTTGGTGCTCTGACAATCCTATTTGTGATGGGAGAAGCACCCCTAGAATAGCACAGCAAATAGTCTTAAGCAAGTTCTTTTGTTGACAACTTTATCCAAGAAACCATCTTCCCTGGAGACTTTTCTTAACTTTAGACTAATTTTCTCCTTGCCACAGAAGTACTTTTGTTGGGGAAAACTGTAAATGAACACAAGAATAACAGAGACCAACTCTGTCTCTAAATTCATTTAATTCTCAATTTCCCATCTGTCCTATTGGGAAATTGACCTTCTGGCCCAGGTTTCTTCTACCAAATGATGAAGCAAATGAAATGATTCAGAAGTCCTGTTCTCGGGTTATCTCAGTATAGGTCTAATTTTGGACCAATCACAGAAACAACATCTTAAATTCTAGGGAATAACAGTAGCAAAACCTTCTGTTGCTTTTCCTTCACTGTTGCCTTGAACATAATGGTTGGAATACTCCAGGTTACAGGTGATGGTATAAAATCCCTGGTCCAGTGTGGAACTAGCTAGATTTCAAGCTTCTTCAGAGGCTGAAGCAAATGAAAACGGAAACAGCAGCAAAGTAGCCCTAGAAGTGGCTAAAGAATAAACAAGAGCAAAAGAATGAATCACATAGTTCAAATTCAGTAAGGAAAATTTGTTATACATGATCATAAAGTTATTGATGCAATCATACATATGAATAGAAAAGGCAATGACAAATTATAACTGTGATCGTTTCTTGTCCCTGGTAATGACAACAAAGGAAACTTTTAAAATATTCAAAAATCTATCTGTGTAATTCACCACCACTCGGTGTTCAAAGCAGCCAAGCTGGAAAGCTGAGGAGAGTCTCTACTATAGCACCTCATGTGCTGCGTATACCCCATATGTTTTGGTTCTCCTCTAGTTCTTTGTTGGACACATCAATATACATTTTCTCCCACACCTGAAACTGACATTTGAGGATTAATGTCTCAATTTTGAAGCATTGCTGAAAGTTACCAATCTCTAGTACATTTACATTTTGACTCTTCACAAAAGTGAATATTTTAACATAAATTCAATTTACTGGGAAAAAATTTACAGACCCCAAGTATCCATGTGACTGCTGCTCTCATTCTCTGTAACTCCAGTACTCCCAGAGTTTGCTAATCCCAAACCATTTACTAAACAGTTTAATTGCTCTAGCTTTACCCTATTGTGGTTCATCTCCTATGGGTTGTATCAATTACTACCAAGAGCCTAGGGGTATCATGGAGGTTACTGCAATAAAGGTTAAATCTGCCTCCTCCCTTCTTTACTTGCTGGCATAGGCACCAAGCTTGACACACTGTAGTTAATTGATTTTCTATTTCAACCAATTTATGCCTACAGGTAACAATTCTTTGTGTAAGGAAGGCCACTGTAGACCAGAGAGACAGGATTATCTCCCTACTTCTGGCTGTTGAGTGAAACAATTTAACAACCATAGAAATAATCTATATATAATTATATGGAGCACCACCATGTAAGACCATTCTATTAGTGTATTTGATTCCCATTCCCCTTTGGAGGGTAAATGCTTCACTTTATAGAAAAAAGTGGTCCTATTCTTTCAACTATTAGTTTTTAAATCGAAGTAAAAGCTCTGCTCTAGAAAAAAAAGAATGCTTGGGCAATACCATATTATTGCATTGCCACTTGTATATTAGCAACATACAAACTTTGGTATTTCATAAAATGTGCTACAAACGGCAATAATTCCAAACTCCTCTCTTCTTTCCAAACATATAAATATAATGATCTTAGAAGAGCCAGAAGGCAGTATTTTTTAGGTATACATGCCTTTAAATAGTGACAGTCAAAGATAGAACTCCAAGAGAAAGTGGCAAAGAGCTGACTCCTTTGAATGAAGTCAGCTGTGAATGTGGAGGGAGTATGCCAGTGGCTACCATCTAGCCCTAAAGGTGCTGTTAGGAAGCAGGGCCAGGCAGTGTTTGCCAAAGTGATTGTCAAACCACAGCGTTTGTGGTTCCAGATGTGGCCACATAAGGCCTGGCTGGCTCTGCATATGAAGTTCACCTTGATAACTCTGTGAAGATTAATGTCCTCTCACCGCAGCATGGAAGACCCAGTATGGGAAGTACTCTTGTGCCATCTAGTTTTGGAGTTTTTCTACCTGGCTTCCTCATGACTGCCAGCAGAACTCCTTTCAGGTAGCACTAGCTTTCTGAAAATCCTTCCTTCTACCCTTCTCTTCCACATGATCTTGGCTGCCATAGGCTGGCTGGCTGGTACCTGTGACAGCACCCATCTCCCCTTTTAGGCCCATGTGGTCCCCATCCCCAACCCAAAACGAGAGGACTTCCTGTGACTATCTGTGCAGAGCTATAGCCTGAGGAGCCTGCATCAGGGAAGTCAGGCCCTCACCCCTCATTCCTCACCTACCCGCCTCTGGGTAGGGCCAAAGACTCTGAACCAGGTCTGCTCTGGCACCTGGGGCACATAATACTTAGGTGACCAACCACCTAACTTATATGAGACCATCCTAATTTTAACACTGAAATTCCCATATCCCAAGAAACCCCTCAGTCTTGGGCAAACTAGGGCCGATGGTCCCCTTTCTGACTTTTGTCATGTTCGCTGACGGAACTACTTAGGAAGGAAGCATAATGTCAGTTGCAGTCCCGATGTGGCGCAGTAGGATAACCACTGGATCACAAGGTTGGTGGTTCAAATCCACCAACAACTCCTCAGAAATCCTATACAGGGTAGCTATGACAGCAATGATACAATGTCAGTTTTAGAGTTCTGGTGTGGTGGTGTAGGATAAGCAATGGACTACTAACCACTAGGTTAGCGGTTCAAACCTTCTACTCGTTCCTTGGAAACCCTATACAGGGTCTCCATGAGTCAGAAGCAATTCAATGACACTTAACAACAATGTCAGTTTTAATTCTTTATTCCACATGTTTCAGTTGAAGGTCCCACCCCCATCCCCTTGAGTTGATTTAAACTCATATGGACCCTGTATAGGCTATCCAAGGCTGTAAATCTTTACAGAAGCAGAAGGTCTCATCTTTCTCTCGCGGAGCGGCTAATGGGTTTAAACTGCCAAACTTTTGGTTAGTGGCCCAGTGCTTATCCTAAGGTCTCACTGTGCTCCATAAATTCTGTCTTAGCAGCCCTTTCACCCCATCAGGGAGCAGGAGAGGCAGTTCAGGGGATGGAGGCCTGAGGAGCTACGTCACCTGCCCCTGAAGTCGGAGCTGAAGAGCCAGACTGAACAATGTCATCCCCACCTGGCAGCGATCACTTTTCAGTTCCGTCCACAAGGAGCCTACTGCGGGGGCCCCCACTTGCCTGGAAGGGTCCTGGTGATCTCAACCCTTCTTTTCACCAGCATTTGCTAAACCCGGCTGGGTGGTGACCTTTCCGGTAGGAGGCCAAAAGGTCACACATTTCTGGCTTTAGTCTCACTCCTGAAACTGTAAACAAAGACTCCTCTGTAGGGAGGAAAAGAGAAAAGCATCAATGTATTATTTCCTGGGGGCTTTCACAGTGGCTTTTTTTGTTGTTGTTTTTTTTTTGTTTTTTATGTCTGTTGCAATACATGTCACTGGGAGAGACGTCAAAACAAGAGCCAGACTTACTTACCCATAATTTATACTGACTCATGTATAACTGGCATTACTGAATCTACTCATTGTTGGCATGTCCTCCTTTTCAACTCAATTCAGTGCATATTTACTGATTGAATACTAGGTGTTGAAGATAGCAAAACCAGGACTAGAACTGTGGGAGACAGACAGGCACACACACACACACACACACACACACACACACACTTACACTAACAAGGGTCACAAGTAAGGCACAAACCATGAAGCATGACAATTCTCACACCATCTCCACGTCTACTAAGGCGCACAGGACCAGCACAGACAAGGTGCCATTACAGTCATGCAGGATAACTATTCTCTTAGTAGGCACGGACTTCCAGGGAGGATAGTCCTGGCAGAGGGCTCAGCATGAGCAAAGGCATGGAAGATGGAAGTGCTTGAGAAAACCACACATCATTCTCAAGATGGAATGAATAGAGCAAGATGGAAGTCAAAGTTGGAAAAAAGTGTTTGAACCAGATGGTAGAGGGAGTTGATGTTATGCCACGAGTCTAGACTTTAGTCACCTCAATATTAGGCAATAAACATGAAACTGGACTAACTATGTCTTTGAAAGTTTCTAATCCTGTCAGCTACATGAGGCAATCTATTTAAGTAGACTTTCATGTATAATTTCTGTCATTAAAAAAAAGAAAGAAATTTATGTATTTGGCTAGTCAAAATATTGGAAGTTTCCATTTTTATAAATGCCTCTGTTAAATTCTATTGTATCTGGGTGCCTACTTTGCTAAAACCATGGACCAAGTTCTCCAAAAGCCCACATTTTAAAGGGCTCATCTGAGAAATGGGGATAATAACGTTTTCTGGCAGATGGCTGTTTTATTCAGGAAACCTGGCATCATTCCTGAGCCACAATAAGGTCTTAATAAATAATGACTATTGTTAAAATATTGCAACAGATTGTCTGAGTGGAGCATTATTGTCACCAAAGCACATTCAGAAAACCTGCTCAGGGCATCCTTCCACTCGGGCATTGCTTTTCTAAAGTTCACAACCTGAACAAACCTGGGTTTGTTCCATGGGTTACATATTGCACCATTTAACGAAAAGAAAAGCTTTTTCTTAATAATATTGTTTACTGGAAGCTGTTCACAACTAAAGGGAGCAAATGAACCCACAATGCCGGCTATACCTCACTCTGCCTAGACTTCTACCTCAGATTACTTTCGGGAATCTGTCATCCCAACTCTGTGGCTTTGAAATTACATCAAGTTGCTTGGCTAAAATAAACAGTGTGTAAACTTAAAAAGATTACTCTCAAATCAACTCACGTCCAGACCATTTTGGTAACTTCTCTCAGGGAGAAGTGCCTTCTTGCACTGGGGATAGTGGTATGAAGGACTAGGATTTTCCGAAATCTTTCTTGCCTTTCAAAAGCAGCGGCTCCCAAACAGAGAGAAATAGAGACGCAGACACAGAGAGAAACATTATCTGGCAGAACAGTGCTGGGAAAGCAACCAGTTAATCAAAAGGATTCCAATCTGGCTGTGGACTGCCACACTCTCTTCCCAACTCATAGAAAAAGGAAGAGAAAGAAAGAAAAAAGCAGTGATGTGACTCTCCAGCAATTTCACAAATGCAAAACCTTCCACTCTGGTGACTCCTCATTAGCTGACTGAATCTGACAGCATAATTATCGCAGCTGCTTCGCGCATAGAATAAATAAATACGAAAGTGGGTGTTGAAAAAATTTTTGAGAAGGGAAATACAGTCATCTAGTCAGTCAGTAAGACAAGTTTATTTAAAACTTTTAGATTCTTATGCATTTAGATAACTTCAGAACAAGATAATGAGATAGCTGTCTTTCAGTCTAATTGAGTTCCTAAACTCATGGTTGCTGGCTGTCATCCCTTCTAACTTTGCTCTAACTTTCCTTCCTTTAGAAATCTGACCCTGGCGTCTCCATTTACTCTTCCTCAGCTGATGGCCTGGTGAAGAAGGCTGGGTGCACTGGACTGCAAAAAGCAACTTAATGGGATTGAGGAACTCAATAACCTTTCACAGGAAACAAGAAACCCTCATCTCTTTTACTTGCCTGATGTGGTGCTGTAGGCTATGCACTATCCTGCTAATCCAAGGTTGGAGGCTCAAACTCACCAGCGGCTCCTTGAAAACCCTCTCCAAGGTTGCTAAGAGTTGGAACTGACTGGACAGCACTTAACAACAATGGCTCAAAGAGAAAGCACAAATTAAAAAAGAAAACCTGGAAATTGAAGTATCATTCCAAAATGTCTGGTGATCATCTTGTCATGTGGTCTTTGCGCTACTCTTACGCACAATCAGGTGGAGCAGCTTAGTGCATTTAATTATTCAAAGTGCAAACATCCTCGTGATTATGCAGTAATTTTAGTTCATGTCCATGTATATAGACTTCATAGCTTCAAAGCCCAAAGGATCACATACCACTTCAAATTGAAGTTGCTAACTAACAAGGAGTGTGCTTAAAACACTGACTGGGGGCACAGCACATATGCATTTCCAATTACAGCATATGATATTTTTCTTTTAAAATTAATTAGTGCCTAGTTATCTTTTCCTCTCACTCCTACCCAGTCTCCCAGGACTACATTCATATGAACCTTTGCATTAAGTAAGTTAAGAGCTTTATAAAATAAACTGTCAATCTGGGATAAAGGAAATTAGAGCTAACCCCATTGTGCAGATGGAGAAACTGAGCTCATGAAGGCAAATCATGCATGTTAAGATAGAAATAGAAGAAATCTTAGGTTCTTTAGCTCCTATCACAGACTGCTGACCTTCTGTATCACTTTTCTCACTGTATTTATTTTTTAACTGTAAAGATAATACAACACCAATACTAAAGAAAACTTTGTATAAAGAAGGGGGGGAAATAACCCATAATACCCCTATACTAGAGGAGTGTTTTCATATTTATAAGCAACCTTTCAGTCTTGTTCATATGTGTAACATATTTTCACAGGTAAATTGACCTTTATAATTTTGAATTCTATTTTCTTTTAGCTTGTGTCATAGCATAAGCATGTCCCTATAGTTGAATGGCAGAGTCCTGGTGTAGCGCTGTGGGTTAATTCGCCAGACTGCAAAGCTGTTGGAACTGCAAAATTGGTGGTTCAATCTCACCAGCTGTTCCTCGGAAACCCTATACAGGGTCGTTAAAGGTCAGAATCGACTTGATGGCACTTAACAACAACAACAACAACAACAACAACGCCAAATGGCAGCTACTACTATTATGTGAGCATTCTTCCATATGATGAGAACATGGAATAGTTACTCTCTAAGCTCCATTCCACTATTAGGAGTCCTGGCGTGGTGCTGTGGGTAATGCACTGGACTGCAAAGTCAGTTTGAACCACAAGATCGATGGTTCAGGGTTCCCAGCAACTCCTCAGAAACCCTACACAGGGTCGCTATGGGTCAGAACTGACTTGACGGCACTTAATAACAACAACAAAGCTCCATTCCACTATTAGGATATCAGACTTGTTCCTGAATGGTTTATATATCCATGGGAATTCTTCCAGTCCACAAGGCTAACAAATGTGGCCAAATCAAGGGCTTGGGAGCATGGAGGGGCTTGCTTTACCCAGACTTCTAGCAATACAAGTCTCTGCAACACCACAAACCATCTCTCAAGCCAACATCTCCTGTCTGATGTTTGGGAATGGACTGAGGGCAACTTTGAACATAGAAGATGAAGAAGTGAGTTAGAGAGGACATTTTCTACCTTAATTCTCACTGGTGACTATTGATGAATAGAGGGTTTGAAAGATGGAGAGAATGGTTTGAGTTAGATTACAAACTCCTGGAATCAGCATAGGGTCAAGAGACCTGGCTCAGAATCACCCTTCCTTCCTCCCCAGGAGCACCCAACCCTTGAAAACCAGCCTGTGGAATGACAAAATTCTGAATAAACTTTCAAGAACCCAAACCCAAACCAAACCAGTCGCTGTTGTTACTTACAACTCACAACAACGTCCCCCACCCCATGTTGCAGAGTGAAGCTGCATTCAATTGGGTTTTCAAGGCTGGGACCTTTCAGAAGCAGATTGCCAGGACTTTCTTCTGCGGTACCCTTGGCTAGGTTCAAACAGCCAAATGTTTGTAGTTGAGTGCTTAACCATTTGCTCCACCCAGGGACAAACCTTAAACAGACAATAAAAGCAATAATCAAAATAGATTTGAAATCCTGAGGAAGCATACAAAGAACTAAAAACTAAGCTTCAATTGTTTTAAGAAGGCATAATGATAAAAATTACTGTTGCCTGTGAGTCAGTATTATGCCATTCTTCTTAGAAAGGGGACAAGTTCAGAAGGATGTTAGACAGTATTAAGAGGAAGATGACATTCCTCTGCTTGGAATGTTCTTCCTCCCCAGCCATCTAGACCTCATCATCATTCAAGACCCACTCACAAAGGCATCCTCCGTCTCCCAGCTGGACTTAATCTTGTATCCTCTGAGCGCCAGAGTACTTCACATATGTTTACTTGATCTGCAGCTGTTAATATGCTTGTCTCCTTTCCTCAAGGACTGCAAGCTCTTTGAGGACAGGGTCCATGACTAATTCATTTTTGTGTCCCTCACAACATCACACCCAATAGGCATTCAGTAAACATTCAGTGAATAGCAGGGACATAATTCTTTCACTATGGTAGAAACCCAAGTCTTTGCTTCTTCTTGAAACTATGCACCCAACACAACAATTGGTTCGCATTAGAACAGTGAAACACAATGACCAAAGAATGGGAGAAACAGAATTCTAAAAACAAAACAAAATAAAAACATTGCCTGAACTTTGGAAAGTAATATTATTATAGGGCTCTTCAAATATATGTAAAGAGATAATACTAAAAAAGAAGGCCTGAAGCTCTTTTATGGGATCAAAACAAACAGACAACAAAATCCGTCAAGCATTAATAGGGCAATCTGAGTAAGGCTTATTGAAGAATTTCTAGACTGCAGATACCAGGACAGCGTAACTCAAAGTGGAGACAAATTTTGTGCTTTCTTCTGTTCCTATGGGTTTAAGGATAGGATGACAACAAGGCTTGTGGAACATTGTACAAAAATACTTGAGAAATACTTACAAACTCTTAAGTTTTAGAACTGTTTTTTTCCCCTAAAATGCTAAAGTCTGTTTTAAAGGAGTATGGGGATTTACTCTAGGAAGGAATGGGAGAGACTCAAGCCAGGGATTTGGAAAGCAAAATGGGACCAACTCGCAGAGAGAAACAGCCTTTGATGTCTTGAGGATCAAGGACCATGGCTTAAGAACCAGACTCTTAAATCACTTGGCATTTACTTGCCTCAGATAAAAAATACTTTTGTGGATCAGTGTCTGTGGTCCAAAATGGCTAGTGTCCAATCACAGATCAGTCTCAACTTTCCAAGGGTAACATTTGGAAGGTTTCCTGCAAGAACGGAATAGAGCCAGTTTCTGGAAGGGGCAGCTTAATGATTTTCTCCTCCCCCACTCCCAAATCATTAAATAGTGCTCCTTTACCAGAGCCCAAGTTCATGCTGAGGGCAAAGGGAATTAAATGTAGAAGCTGAACCTGCAGTTAAGATTAGAGAGTTGCCAAGGTCCTAATTTTAGGTCTTAGCTGCCCCAGCTGATGTCCTGCACTGCAGGCTCCCTCAGGAGGGCCACAGTGTGGCCGCAAGCCGGTGCCTGAGTGGGAAGAGCGTCAACCTGGCCATCTGTAAAAGCAATTAGTTTGCTGTTGGGTGTGTTTTAAGAGGGACTACCAATAATTTCTCCTTCAACAAATGTTTCTACAGGTGTTCAAGAGTCAATAAGGGAACATGTCAGAGCTTGGCGGAAGTTCCCACATGCTTGTCATGCTAATATTCACGCTTCTCTGTATAAGTGTGCACCCCAAAAGGGAACTCATCCTGGCATTCCTGGTTTTCCCTCTGCCTATAAATTTACTGCCACAACTTGGAGAAAGTGGTGTTCAGGACTTGCCAGCTTCATGAAAATAGAAATGGATGGGAGAGACCCAGTCTTTCATTTTGTGGGGATGGCTATCCCACTGGGATTTAGACTGTCCTCCACTGCTCACATACTTGTATTTCCCATCCACAGGTTTCAGGGTTTAATTGTCTTCTTCAGAGAGCAGACAATAATAGTTGGCATCTTCCAGATCAAAAGGAAAGCGGAATATATTTTAAAGTGACAACTCTGTTATCCTGAAACCAGAATAATAAAATGATATAAATATACGCCCTTAAATGATTCCATACTGAAATGCCATAGGAGAGCAAAATTTCGTGCATAATGATGCTAGGGAACCTCTCCTTACAAACCACTTATAAGAGCCATTTTTGTGCCTGCGGCAGCCAAACCCAAATATGGACATTCTGTGTTCCTGCAGACTTAGGACTGTGATGACTCTCTGTGGCTCCCTGCCTGCACAGGAGACCCTTATTACAGGTGCATTGCCAGGGGCAATAATAAAGCAGACTAGCAATGCCAGGCCAAAGGGAATGCAACCCTTAGTAGACAGTGTGTGCTTGGTGACAGCCACTGTTGTGGAAGTGGACAAACTGACCCCTGGGGCTTCTCCCTTCCTCTCTTTTTCTTCTCAATTTTCCAGGTAGTTTTACTCTCTGCTTGTCCAGAGTCCTAACTGTTGGCCTGTCTCTGTACATATTTCCACTCCCCCTCACACCCACACATGCACACCCAGCCCCACCCCCCGTCCCCCACCCTCTGTCTCTTGGCGCCAGCCCTTTCATCTTCTCCCTCTGGGATTGGAGATGTCGCTGCAGGAAGTGCTTGTCCGCCGAGGCAGCAGCACCAGAGCCCTGTGGCTTTGACAAACCTCATTTAATTGGGAGGAAGCCAGGAGAATTTGAAAGAACTGAAACATCCACGAAACTCCTTTTATCAGGCATAATTTAAACTCTGCATGGAAAAACCCCTATATGTATAAAGAAAAGTCAACTTCCCTCCTGCTGTGAGCACTCCTCAGCTCCCCCCAGCACAGGCAGCCTCCTGCAAGGTTCCAGCTTTTCATTTCTCTAAAAGTGTCAAAGTAGATTTGGGCTCTGTGGCTGGGTGAACAGAAAAGGAATACAGATCTTTTCCCCTCTCCTCTCGTACTTGTATGTGCGTGCACATACACACACCTGCACACATACGTTCACCCAGACATGCATGCACCAGAGCTGCTCTGTTGGGGGTTTTGCTTCGGGTCTGCCAGGAAGAATCAAACCCACTCTTTCTAACAACACATCAGTTTGGACAGTGATTGTTTTCTTCCTAATTACCCTTCAGGCAAAAGCTGATGCCCTGGAAAGTTGTGACGATCTGGAGAAGTTCTCAGTAGCCAGAATATCAGATCCAGGAGGATTCTGTGTTTGTGTGCGTGTGTGTTTCTTTAAGTGAAGATGTGTGTGCACACATGCATGTATGTGTCCAAGCATGTATATTTTCAAGAAGTGGTAGAGTTAGAAGTCCCAAGCCCAGAAGAAGAAAGATAAGGAGGTATCTAGAGGTTCTGACTGGAAAGAAGATGTTGAGATGGGAGTGGAGGGAGATGGGATGAATCAGGAATGGAGAAAGAATTATAAATCTGTCTGGAAAATGAAAAAATCCTGCTGCCATCTAGTTGATTCTGACTCATAGCAACCCTATAAGCCAGAGTAGAAACTCCATAGGGTTTCCAAGACAGTCAATCTTTAGAGGAGCAGACAGCCTCATCTTTCTCCTTTGCAGTAACTGGTGGGTTTGAACTGCTGACCTTGTGGTTAGCAGCTCAGTCCTCAACCCACTGCACCCTCAGGACTCCTTCAATCTGTCTGGAGTGTCTTTTAGTCCACTCATAGATCATACTATATAATTCACCTATAGGCCCCTCCTTCTAATTCAGATTAGGTTTCAGATTCACCTCTAGCCGGATCCATCTCACTTGAATTATTCTAGTCCCTCTAAACCATTGCCTTAGCGCATGTATCTCTGGACATCTGCAGCTGATTATGCACAGATTTTAGCTGTTTAGATATGATTTGTGCTAACACGTGTACAAGAATGCCTGTTTCCTCTTCCTTACTCTTTTCCTCCTACTCTGTAAGATCCTAGAGGCCAAGGCCAAGACTCCTTTTCCTCAACTTTTAATAGCACTTAGCACGTTCTTGACACTTAATGGCAATTTAATAAATACTGAAGACTGAGTGTTCTTACAGGGTTAAGGAAGACATTAACCCTAGCTCTATGATTATGGTGAATTTTTAAGATCCTAAACCACTCACTTCAAAATATCTCAACAAGTCCCAAACTGAGAGCTTTGGACTGCTGCAAGACAATGTCCTAGCTACCACAGGGTCACTCTTACAAACCCTGGCCTTCTGGCTATACTCTATGTCTAAGTAGCTCCCACCTCTTCCTCACTCTGGTGATTATGTGCCGTGGAGTTGGAACCAACCCATAGCGACCCTGTACAGGTTTTCCGAGGCTGTAAATCTTTACAGGAGCAGAAAGCCTCATCTTTCTTCCGTGGAACAACTGGTAGTTTTGAACTGCTGACCTTAAGGTTTGCAGTCCGATTGGTAACCACTATGTTAGCAGAGCTCCTCACTCTGTCATACCTCAAATCCACTTCCCGCCCCACTCCCATTGCAATACCCTTTTCCCAGTCTGAGTTTTTAAAACCTCCTTCTTAGCTTGCTTTTCTTGAGCTTTGTTGTTAAGTGCTATCAAGTGGACACTGACTCACAGTGACCATATATCGTGTTTCCAAGGTTTGAACTGCCAACCTTGTGGTTAACAGTCCGGTGCTTGCTTATCCAACAGCACCAGGACTTCTAAAAACTGCTTTTGGTTGAATGATACATGTTGCCAAAGAAATCCCACCTAAGGATAGTTGCCCCAAGTAGCCCGGACATGCCCACACTGCCCACATCCTCTGCATGGCCCTTCCTGACCACATTCTGAGAAACATGAGGCGCCCTCTGATCACATGATCCATCGGCAGATTTCAGATTTGGAGGATGACTGCAGGCACAGGCAGCTAAGACTGATTTCAGGGTAACTGTGTGTCCCCAGTGGGCATCCAGCCCTCCCCCAGGCTCCACCCGGAACTTCCTCCTGCAGCATCAGATTACCAATCAAGACAGATCTAGAGTTCCTCTCCCATCACAGCCACACACCTATCATCTTACTTTCTATGGATAGAGGAAAGGGGTTTTTAGAAACTTCGGTTTTCCTTCTCCTGGCAAGCCCTAAGTGAAGCAAACAAATCCAAGACAACTTTCATCTCTTCTGATTTCTAAGTGTAAGTGAATATGAACAAAATGTTTGAATGACTACAAGGAAGTTCTGTCACCTCTCCCTACCAGTATATCAAAGTTTAAGAGAATTTCATACAACTCTCCAGCAAAATTGAGTTCCATCTTGCTTCTCCCAGGTGAAATGATTTCTATACTTCTGGTTGTAAATGCTGTGACTCTTCACTGTTCAGAGAAAGCATTTAGACATACAAGGGAGCTTCAAAAAGTTTGTGGGGAAATTCTATTATCTTTTAATTATATTTTTCACAAACTTTTTGAAGCCCATTCATAGGCAGGCACACACACAGACACCCCCCCACCCCCACCCCCCACTCACCTTTGGGAAGGTGGTGCAGCTGAGTTGGCAGAACACTGAAATAATCGTGAACGAGCGCTTTCTGGGCAGACACCCGGTCTCGAGGAAACCCTTTCAGCATTTGGGAGGCCAGGTCTTCAGCTTCAGGGACCCTGCCCAACCTGGAAAAGTGGGAGAGAAAAAGAAAGTTTATCTCAACATCTGCCTTCTGAAAAATAAAGGCGGAGAAAACAAAAGGAATAAATAAAGGGGAGGAAAGGAAAGGAGATGACTATATTTACAAGTGTGTTTCAAGTAGACTTTTCCTGCGTTATTAAAGTTAACGGCAGGTGAAAACATTCACCATCACACTGACACTTTTACCTGTCCTAAGATGGGGTATTTGAGAGAATCTCAGCATTGTTTTATTTAGCTCCCTCACTCCATTGTGTCTCTGGACACTAGGTAGAATAAAAGACACACAATTATAACTATAGAAGCAGGAATACATAAAGATTCTTCTTTAAGGGACACAGCAGCCTCAACCAAGCAGAAAGGCCAGACTCCAAGAGCCATACAAGAAGTCATACAGACTCCATGACTTCAGGAAAGAGGAAAGGTAGGAGATTTGAAGGGCAAAGCCTAGGTGAGACACTGCAGGATAATGCGCTGGACCGCAAGGTTGGTTTGAACCATAAGGTCAGTGGTTCAAACTCACCTGTTGCTCCTCAGAAACCCTATATAGGGTCGCTATGAGTTGGAACCGACTCAATGACACTTAATAACAACAGCAACAGTGTTTTTGAAGCTCAGTCCCCCAAGTTACTAGCTGAGAAGCTCTCTTGGTTTCCCTAGTAATGAAGCATAGGAGGAAGGATGACTTAATTAAGTATCCTAAAGGAGCTCTGGTAGAGTAGTGGTTACGAATCAGGTTGCGAGCCTCAAGGTCAGCAGTTCAAAACTACCAGCTGTTCCAAGGGAGAAAGATGAGGCTTTCTGCTCCCGTAAAGATTTACAGCTTCGAAAACCCTGTATAGGGTCGCTATGGGTCAGAACCAACTCCACGGCACATAACCACCAATCATAATAGGGGTCCTGGTGTGGTGCTGCAGGTTAATGTGCTGGATTGCAAGTTTGGTGTGAACTGCAAGGCCGGCAGTTCTAGCTCACCAGCTGCTTGTCGGAAACCCTATATAGAACCAACTTGACGGCACTTAACAACAACAACAAGCATAATAGGAACAAGTTGACTTTATGATGAGTTACATACTTGGAGATGAGCAAATCTATTTATTAACTACTACTACGTGTTGTTTAAACAGCATAAAAGACAACAATACACATGGGCCTCAACAGATGGAATACACAGAAATCAAATTGACTACATCTGTGGAAAGAGATGGTGGAAAAACTCCATATCATCAGTCAAAACAAGGCCCGGGGCAGACTGCATAACAGCCCACCAATTACTCATATATAAGTTCAAACTGAAGCTGAAGAAAATGAAAACAGGTCCACAAGAGCCAAAATATGACCTTGAGTATATTCCACCTGAATTTAGATGTCATCTCAAGAACAGATTTGATGCATTAGACACTAAATACCAGAGACCAGAAGAGTTGTGGGATGACATCAAGAACATCATACAGGAAGAAATCAAAAGGTCATTAAGAAGACAACAAAGAAGGAAAAGACCAAAATGGAAAAGACCAAAACTTGCTCTCCAGAGTAGAGATGCTAAAGCAAATGGAAGAAATGAGGAGGTACAAGACCTGAATAGAACATTTCAAAGGTAGGCTTGAAAAAATAAAGTCAAATATTATAATGAAATATAATAAAAGACCTGGAGTTAGAAAACCAACACGGAAGAACATGTTCAGCATTCCTGAAGCTGAAGGAACTGAAGAAAAAATTCAAGCCTTGACTTGTGATATTGAAGGATTCTCTGGGTAAATTATTGAATGATAAAGAAAGCATCAAAAGAAGATGGAAGGAATACACAGAGTGAGTCACTGTACCAAAAAAAAAAAAAAGGTCGATATTCAACCATTTCAAGAGGTAGCCCATGATCAAGAGCCAATGATACTGAAGGAAGAAGTCCAAGGTGTATTGAAGGCATTGACAAAGAACGAGGCGCCGGAACTGATGGAATACAAATTGAAATCTTTCAGCAAACTGATGCAGCACTGGAGGCACTCATTCATCTGTGCCAAGAAATTTGGAAGACAACTACCTGGTCAACTGACTGGAAGAGACCCATATTTGTGCCAATTTCAAAGAGAGGTGACCCAACAAAATGCAGTAATCATCAGACAATATCATGGATATCCCATGTGAGTAAAGTTTTACTAAAGGTAATACAAAAACAGCTAAATACATACATTGACAGAGAACTTCCAGTTGGTTTCAGAAGAGGACATGGAATGAGGGATATCATTGCTGACATCAGAAATGATGTTTACCTTGCTTTATTTACTGTGCAAAGGCTTTCAATTGTATGGATCATGACAAGCTATGGACAACATTGCGAAGTTGTCTAAAACACTTAATTGTACTCATGAGGAACCTGTACACTGACCAAGAGGCAGTTGCTTGAAGAGAACAAGGGGACAATAAATGATTTAAAATTAGGATAGGTGGGTGCCAGGGTTGTATTCTTTCACCACACTTATTCAATCTGTATGCTGATCAAATAATCGAATAAACTGGATTATATGAGGAAAAAATGTGGAATCAGGACTGGAGGAAGACTCATTAATAACTTGTGATATGCAAATGATACAACCTTGCTGAAAGTTAAGAGGATTTAAAATACTTATTGATGAAGATCAAAGACCACAGCCTTCAGTATGGATTGTATCTCAATGTAAAGAAAATAAAAAGTCCTTACCACTGGACCAATAAATAACATCTATATAAATGGGAAAAAGACTGAAGTTGTCACAGACTTCATTTTGCTCAGATCAACCATCAGCACTCATGGAAGCAGTAGTCAAGAAATCAAAAGATGTATTGCATTAGGCAAATCTGCTGCACAAGACCTTTTTAAATTATAGAAGAGCAAAGATGTCAGCTTCAGGACTAAGGTGCGCCTGATCCAAGCCATGGTATTTTCAATAACCTCATATGTATGTGAAAACTGGACAGTGAATAAGGAAGACAGTGGAAGAATTGATGCATTTGAATTATGGTGTTGGAGGAGAGTATTAAAAGTACCATGGACTGCCAAAGAACCAACAGATCTGTGTTGGAAGAAGTGCAGCCAGAGTGCTCCTTGTAAGTCAGGATGGCCAAATTTCATCTCTCATACTTCGGACATATTGTCAGGAGGAACCAGTCGCTGGAGAAGGATATCATGTTTGGTAAGGTGGAGGGTCAGACAAAAAGAGAAAGTCCCCCAGTGAGACAGATTGGCAAAGTGGCAGCATCAGTGGGTTCAAGTGTGACAACTGTGAGGTTGGCCCAGGACTGGGCAGTGTTTCGTTCTGTTGTGCATAGGGTCACTATGAATTTGTACCGACTCGATGGCACCTAACAACAACAACTATGTATAGTATGTGGTTGGCCCTGGTAGATACTAAATAAGATTCTGCCTTCTGACATCTTAGTAGGGGAGTCAGATATTAATCAAATATATAAAAACATCATGCAGATGCATGAGTACAACTGTAAATAAAAAGTCCTGGGATCTGGCTTTGGCTGGAAGGAAGTTGTCAGGGAAGACTTTGTCGTGGAAGTGCTAATTCAGCTCAGCCAGAGGTGTCTGGTGCTCATCTAGACCCTTGAGTTGTAGGGAGAAGAGACAGTTCAAAGGAGGGAATAAAGATCCATTGGCTGGCCAGGAATAAAGACTGGAAAAGAGGTCTGACACAAAGCTGGCAAAAGCAGCAGGGATTGCTCGTGCAGTCTTGTGGGTCTTTGTGCTTCCTATTGACTTACAATGTTAAAAAGTAATTGCTTCCAATTATTAATGGATGTTTACAGCGGTTTCTCTTCATTTTGAGTTGTGCCCCATCAGCAAATGAAGGTCTCGCGGGCTTTTCTCCAAGGGACTTTACTCCATTGGCGTCATCACGGTCAACTCTACTTTGAGGAGGCAGTTCTTCCCCAGTCGCGTTCTGAGTGCCTGCCAACCCAAGGGGCTCATTTTCCAGCACTATATCTGACAGTGTTTCTCTGTTATTCATAAGGTTTTCAGTGACTAAATATTCAGAAGTAGTTCATCACTCCTTCTTCCCAGTCTGTCTTTGTCTGGAAGCTCATCTGAAATCTATGCACTATGGGTGACCCTGCTGGTATTTGAAATACTGGTGGCATAGGTTTCAGAATCACAGCAACTCACAAGCTACCACAGTACGACAAACTGACAGATGAATGGTTGCCATTTGGTTTAAGTGAAAACTGTCACTTTAAATTTTGAGGAGATCTGTACGCATGCGTAGTAGAGCCCTATAGTGGTGGGTGTGGGGTGTCCATTAGCTCAGGTACTCCCTCTAGTCACCAGAATGGAGGTGCGCAGACAGTGAGAGACCAATGAACAGATACACACACAAGAAAAATAATAATAATGTCCACAACTGTATCGCCGTGGTTCTGTCATGTGTTCATGGCTGTTCTGATCCTTCCCCCAGTTGGTGTCTTCCAAGATGGTGGCTCCAGGAGCAGCTTAGCATCTTGAATTAGAAAGCAATGGATTTTTTGATTCTGCTACAAATCCCCCAAGCTATAAGCCTTCCAAGCTTCTAAATATTCCTTTATATGTGGTTCAGAGTTCTAGCACCATCCCCTGAGCCTGCTTTGTCCGATATTCTGTGTTGTTGCTGATGGAGCTCCTCACTGCACGTTTACCTGATCTGGTTAGGCTGAATTAAATTAGCTGATCACAAAAGGACAAACATTGTATTTGTATGAGACCAATGTTGCAAAAAGCTGGGGAAAAAAGGGGTTCTTGGATGAAAGAAACAATCTATGATGGCTTCAGGGTAAGGGGAGGGGAAATTATTCATGGGCTAGAGGGTAGACACATGTTAACACAGGTGACAGGGCAGGCAAAATATAACAAAAGTGAGGTTAGCAAAGGAAAGATGAAGGTAGCAGGAGACACAGCAAGGAATACAACAGTTAGAGTGAATAGTGGTAAATACCGTTAACTGTTGGTACATGGAGGGGATTGCAACCACTG